GAAGCCGGGGCGGGGCGGGGCGGCAGGTAGTGGCGCGGCCCGCTCTTCGTGCCCGACTCCCTGTGCGCGATCCCGGCGCCCTTCCTCTGCGTGTCCGGGGTTTGCAGCCTGCCCGAGTGCCTGCGTGTGCCGGGGCCGCCTCTGGGCTGGAAAGGCACACCTTTGCCTTCCGGAAGGGCTGGTTCCTGCTCCTGGGAGCTCAGTAAGGGGGGCGAGTGGGGGCTGCAGTGAGCTCGTAACTGGAAACCTAGTGAGGACGGTTGGTCAAGCCCTTTATATTTGGTAAAAATAATAATAACAGATGACATAAAATGTATCATTTTAGATTCTGTTTAAAGTTCAGTAGTGTTGAGCATATTTATATTTTTGTGAGACCGATCTCCAGGACATTTTCATTATCCCAGATTTAAACTCTGTCCATAAAACCCTTCTTCCCATCTTCCCCACCCCAATTCGGACTCTGAATTTGACCACTCAGGGTACCTCGAGTAAGTGGAATCATGCAGTATGTGCCCCTTTGTAACTGATCTGTTTCACTTAGCACAGTGTCCTCAAGGTCCGTGTGTCGTAGCACGTGCTCGGGTTACTTTCCTTTTTAAGGCCCAGTGATACTCCACTGGATCTACCTTCCACCTTTTTGTGTATCCATTCATCCATGGGTGAACATTTGAGTTGCTTCCACCTTGTGGCTGTTGTGAGTACTACTACTGCTGTAAACATGGGTATACAAATACCTGTTGATACTCTGCTTTTAATTCTTCGTGGTATATATTCTCTTGGATATATACCCAGAAGTAGAATTACGGGGCCATATAGTAGTTCTGTTTTTCAGAGAGCTGTTTTTGAGTAGCCTCTATTGCTGAAAGGTATGAGATGGAGTTAGAGAAGTCTGGGAAAGGCAAGTTAGGGAGATGAGAGACAAGAGGAAGAAAGGGGTCACAGGTGATGCCCAAGTTTCTATTCTTAGCCAGGGAGAGAGGAAAGATGAAGAACTCTATTTTGGACATGTGAATCCAAGGAGAAATGGCACATAGAGACACATGGATTCATCAAAAGAATGACAAGGCTAGACAAATAAGACTGCCAGTGCAGCCTAAACCTCACCCACCCAGGGTCACTAGCAACGCATAAAAATACACTTGGAGGACCAGCAGTTAGCGTAATGGCTATGTCGCTGGACTCACATGTAGTCGACCGTGGTTCGCGTCCCAGACCCGATGGCTTAAAACTCACGCCGGGCACGTGTGCGTGCGTGCCCAGGATCCTGAGAGGAGAATGGAGGAGAAGGGATTATGGCGTGACCATCCCCCCAGGGGATGATTTCTCACTTTTTGTCTCTCTGTCTCTCTCTGTCTGTCTGGTGAGCACACGCGCCCTACAGCAAAAACCTCTTAAAAAAAAAAAAACACTTGGATACAGCTGTCCAGCCACACCTACCATCCCTCCATTGCCAGGATGTTGAGCCTTTGTCCCTTCTTCTCTACTCTTCTTTCTTCCTCCTCTCATCAACTTCAGTTCCATTTCCCTTCATTCCAGTACTATTTTTTGCCAGTGCCCTTAACATCTTTGCTCCTCTGTCCTTGTCACACTTGTCTGGCAGATGTTCAAACCCCAGGAAGACTCAGTTTCCTGCCTTTTCTGTGCTTGTGGCTGGAGGAGTCACACAAAAGGGCAGAAGGCATTTCTAGAACTTTGAGCGCACTTGCAGGAAAGAGACAGAAAGGGAAAATGAGAAATCTCCCCTGGTGGTGGAGTGGGATAGGAAATGTTCCTCTGCAATCCCTTGTCCTCCATTCTCCTCTCAGGATTTTGGATATGCATCCACATGTGCAGCTTGGGTTTTGAAAGCCACCAGGTCCAGGACTCAAACCCCGGAGCTATCTGTGTGGGATCCAGCGCTGTAACCACCATGCCACCTGTTGGCCCAAGGCTCAAAAATTTTAAGTGTCTAATACCAGTTTGAAAATCAGCACTGGGGCCAGGAGGCGGCATGATGGTTAAGGCGCTAGATTCCCAGATGATCCACCATGTTTCAGTTTCAGACCTGGCGACTTGCTTTCTCACTTTCTCTCTTTTTCTTCTCTCTTTCTTTCTCTCTCTCTCTTTGGTAAGTTCACATGTCCTGTAACAAATTTAAAAATAATAACAACAATAAGTAAAATTAAATAATAAATCTCTAAAAATATATTTTTAAAAAAAGAAAGAAAATCACCATCAATGACAGACCAGAATTAGAACTAGATAAGAATTGTCTTCCCAGGTCCTATTCCTGACCTTCTGGCTTGGATATGTGTATTTTTAGTAGGCCTCAAGTGATTCTATGCAACCAAATTGTCAACGGTTCACAGACATGTGTGGAGATGGCTACTGAGTCTAGTAGTGAAAGTTAAATCTTATTATGAATAAACTTATAGTAGGCTATTAAAATACAGGAGTTCTCATGGTTCATCAACAATTTCTGGTTTATCCAGAACCTGGGAATATGTGAAGAAGGAATAAAAATGAACAAACTAATCATGGTTTCTGTCTTTGTTATTTGGTGAAAGCCAAATTCCTGCACCTCTCGTGAAGGTGCTGGAAACCATCCACAGGAGCTAGACTCAGGAGCTGCGATCCCAGAGACAAGCCCATGAAAGGGAGGCCAACATTGACTGCTGCTTTGCTCTTTTAAGAACTTCCTACGTTGAGAGCCAAGGCTTGAGAGGCTGAGTAGAAGGGGAAAGATAAGACGCTGAAATGCTGAGCAAAACGTTTTAGATGCATTCCTGGCTGGGTGCTAAAAATTGGAATGAGAGTCTCCTGAAGAGCAGTCTTGATAGACACTGGTCTTTGCTTCCCTCTCTCTCTCTTTCTCTTTCTCTCTCTCTTTAAATACTTGCATTTTATTTCAGGCTAAAGCTCAACTCTGAACTAAATGCCACGACAGTCCCACACCATAGGCTGGTGGTAAAAGAGCCCACAGACAGGACAGGATGACCAGGAGAGACACGTCTTGGGATGGCCTAGGAGCAGGTAAACTCAAAACAGGCAGCTGCAGACCTGTAGTTCAGATTATGGTGGATTAGGGTCTCCTGCCTGCCCTGCCTGCCCTGCGGGTTCGTGAATCAGCAGCAATTTCATTAGTTTGTTTTCTTCTCCCTTATGTTACTGTTGGCCCATGTTTTCCAGAGTCACCGAAAGCTCAGTGTAACTCCTGCTTTTTTCAGATAAGCAACGTTATGTGCTTGTTTTCTTCCTACAGTAGTTTAAAGGTGCTTCTGACAGTTTCTAAGATCTAAAAATAACGTGGGCTTTTCTGTCATTGTGAATTTTGTTTGTTTTTATTTTTATTCTTTGCAGACTACATAGCAGATGTCTGAAAAGATATGCTCCAGAATTTGTTCAATGTTTCTCACTGACTGACAAGTTTTCAGGTGAATTTTATTTTCTTTGAACTTTCTAAATTCCTTTTGGATTTAAAAATGAGCATGAATAAATTTTTTAAAAATATGATATACAGCACGTATGCTCACTGGAGAGAGACAGAGAGAAAGGGGAAATTAGAAAACTCCCCAGGGCCATGCCACAAGCCCTTCTCCTCCATTCTCTTCACAGGATTCTGGGCTCGTACACACATGTGCCTATTGTGTTTTCCAAGATGCTGAGTCTGGGACTCAAACTGCACAGTCTACCATGAGGGCTCCAGCCACCTTAACCACCATGCCACTGGTGGGCCAAGTGTGGGTAATTTTTATTAAAAAAAAAAAAAAAAAACCCTCTTTTACAGAATATTTTACCTATATTTACTGGAAAATCTTGATTGCTGTACATATTACTGTTTTGGCACCTGCTTTTCATTTCATAAGTATTTTATATTTGAAAGTATGTGTCTTACATATTTGTATTTGCACATATATGTGCATATAAAAAGTGCCTGGAATAATGTGGTATTAATGGTAATAACATTAGTAACATTAATGGTCATTTAAATATGGGAGGTTGTCTATATCATGATGAATTTCTTCCTTTTTCTACCTTTGGCATGGTTTAAGTTTAAAAAAATTATCTTGATAATCAAAAAAAAATGTTTAATAGGGTATAGAAACTATTATTTAAAAAGTCCACTAAAGTTAACTGATCCAACAAACCATCTCATTACCCGCTATATGAAACTCATCATGAGACTGTCCAGTTCCTTTGTAAGCCCAGGGGCCTCCCAAAGAGCCTGTTCCCTTCTTAGACAGCTATTAAAGACTTCATAAAATTGAACCAAGGCCCTGGAGCACAACAGTTAAGCCCTGTGTTTAGGGAGCCAGATCCCACGTGGCTTACTGCAGTCCAGATTCTGGCCCTGATAGCTTGAGAAGCATGCCAAATATGTGTGCATACACGTTCAAAATCCTCACAGGATAGAGAAGTGGAGGAAAGGAATGCAGCATGACCATGCTCTCTCTCCCTGTGTCTTTAAGGATACACATGTTCTCCAGAAGTTTACAAACAAATGAACAAACAAACCATTCATATAGTAAAAGTATATTTGAGTTTCTACTCAAATGTTTCTGGAATTGGGCCAGCTGGTAGCATGGTGATTGACACTTGGATCCCACAGGGTTGACTGTGTGGTTCAAGTCCTGGACCTGGTGCTTTGAGAAACACACCAGACGTGTATGTGTACCCAAAATCCCAAAAGGAGAAATGAAGAGAAGAGATTGCAGGGGGAGGGAGTGGGAAGTATACATTCTCACTTTCGCGCTCTCTCACCAGTGAGCACACATGCCCTCTGGCCAAAAAAAAAAAAAAAAAGCCAGAAATCCTTATAATGCTTAAGATACAGCAATGAATAAAAAAGACAAAAATTCCTTCTCCCACGCTTAATGTTTAGTGTGTGGAAACAGATAAACATGCCAAATAGGCATAAGTTCTATGGAAAAAAAAAATCAGGAAAGAGGGAAAAGAGAGTTGTATATTTTTAAACACGGTGGTAGCCAGCCTCCAAGATGACCCTCCATGATGTCTGCCTGGTAGTCATGTTCTGTGTAGTCCCCTCCCATCCGGAACAGCATTGACTGTGAACTAATAGGAAATTACTGGGTCATCAGCAAAGTCATGACACATTTTTTTTTTTTCTTTTTGGGGGGGGAGAGGTTTTCGCTATAGGGCGCGTGCGCTCGCCAGACAGACAGAGAGAGACATAGAGACAGAAAGCGAGAAATCACCCCCCAGGGGGGATGGTCACACCGCAATCCCTTCTCCTCCATTCTCCTCTCGGGATCTTGGGCACGCATGCACACGCACCCGGCGTGAGATTTAAGCCACCGGGTCCGAGACGCGAACCACGGTCGACTATGTGGGAGTCCAGCGACATAGCCATTACGCTAACTGCTGGTTCCCATGACACATTTTTGTATAGAAAAATACATCATGACTTTCTCTACAACCCAATACATAAATGGCACAGTGTGGCTATTAAGGATAGGCCATAAAAGATGCTGCAGCTTCTGCCTTACTCTTTCTTGGACCAATCACTGGGGACAGCCAGCTGCCATATCACAAAGACACTTAAGCAGCCCTTTGGAGAGGATGCCCTCTCCAAGAACTGAAGCCTCCTGCCAACAGTCATCCAGGAACTGAGGCTGCTGTGTGAAGGGCAGAAGCTGGGAGAACAGTTAAGAGACTAACTTGAGGCCCAACCATGGTGGCACAGGTGGTAGCATGCCAAACTGCAATGCTGGAAGCCACATGGCAACTGTGGTTTGTATCCCTAGCCCAGTTGCCCTGAAGCAAGTCAGGCACATGCATGAGTGTCCAAGATCTAATGAGTTGGAGGACTGGAGGAAGGGAATGGCAGTGTGATCAGACCTTGTGAAGGATGCTTTCCCCACCACATGTGCATGTACATTACGGTATCATGAAAATTTTTAAATTAAAAAATTTTAAAAAGAATATATTTTTAAAAGGTAGAGAACTTGAACCATGGAGGCAGCAGTGAATGCAGTGAGAAGTAGTCAATTCTGTGTATATTTTTATGGAATAAGGAGTATGAGTGAAAGTTTGAAATGTCTAGCAGACATCAGAGATGTCAGATGTTGTATGTTAAAAAACTGGAAAATGTTGCATATCTAGGTTCCCCTCCCAACTCATTATTACTTAGGTGGGCACTGTCTTCATTCATTCTTTCAAATATTCCTTGAGCACAATCCAGATGTTGGGGATCCACTGAAAAAACACAATGCTTCCTGCTTTTACAGTGGCATCATAGCTGTGTGTTTCACCTACATTATCGTTTACAAAAGTCAGTGAGGCAGCTTGCTACAATTATTTTTATTTCAAAGATTAAAAACAAGAACTAAATATCTAATTGGAGGACTTCTGTATTAAAAAATAAAATGATTTAATGGTCATGTTCAATAGTGGGCCTTGATTGGATTCTGGATGCAAAAAAAAAAAGAAAAGAAAAAAAAAGAAAAATCCAAAACAACCAACCTCCATAAAACATTTTTTGGGAAAATGTGACTGTGGACTGCATATTAGACAGTATTACTGAATTAATATCAACATGTGGAACATCCTTAAGAGATCCATACTTGAAATATTTAGCCATGAGGTATCACGTCTGCAATGTCCTTTAAGTGATTCAGCAAAACAAAAGATATAAAGAAAAAGCAAATGTGATAAAATGTTAACCAGTGAATTAGATAAGAGTATATGCATGTGTGCCCCAAAACCCAAGAGAACAGAGGAAATGGGATTGTGGGCCATCCCCCTTGGGGAGGCTTTCTCACTTTCTCTCTCTCTCTCCCTCCAGGAAGCACATGTGTCCCACAGTAGATTTTAAAAAATAAATAACAATTGTCTATAATCTACCATATATCTTTCCAAATCCATTTCCATTAAAGTGAGGCAAAATATTCCTATTTCCATATTTTATATATTTTCCATATGTGTTTGGGTCTTTATTTGGCAAACCAGTACTTTCCACTTTCTTTTCTACTACAAGAAAAGCTTACTTTCTAATGTATAAGAATGGAAAAGTCTATTTATAATGTAAAGTAGACCACTTGAGAGTGAAATTTAAATATGGGAGGATTGAGGGGGAAAGCCTGCTAAAAATAGTACTGCTCAGTTTTATACAGAAAAGGTAACTAGGTGCCAAGACCTAAGTAAATGTAAGGAAAGGGAAGAAACCACACAAAGAACCAACTCTAAAATGATCTCTTTGTTTTAATATCTTAAAAACTGTGTTCACAGCACACTCCAAGAGAGTTACACAGCAATAGTCTGCTGCTGTTTTTTTTTTTTTCAAAAAGAGTGTATCCGGAAAAAAAAGTCTTAAATGGTTAATAGTTTCAGACATCTGTTCTCTGAAATTTCTGTAAAGCCAATAAGCCATCACCCATCATCTAAATCTTTCTTTCAGAGTAGTAAACCTTTCAGAAAATGTAATGAGCTTCTACCCAAATCAACAACTCTGAAAAACTACACAACAGAACCAAAAATATTTTCACACATTTGGCATTTTTAACTACTGTTAAAAGAGAAGCTTTCAAATGTAGTGTTTAGATTTTTACTTTTATTACCAGACAGAAGATTTCATCTTTAGTGGTTCCAAAGTGCTTCCACAATAGGAGGAATGATTATGTTGTAGTTAATAAATGTCAATCCTAACAAAGTTAGTGTACTTTCTAGGACAGTGCTTCCTTTTTTAAAAATAAATAATGTCCAGCCAGTACCAAAAACTATTATAAGTGAGGCCAGATAGTTCAAATTGGCTGATTTGTTTGGTACCCAAGTTGTCACATACATATCTTTCATACTTTGATTAAGTTAGTTTGCTATATTTTTCTCAAAATAACCAGTATGTATATAGTTTCAGTGAAAAGTGAACTGAATTTGTATCACTGACTTCATTAAAATATGTCAAACATGGTGAAGTCTTAGATTCTGTCCTTCAGATAACTCACATCTTTATTATAAATGTAGAGCAATCACACCATGAGTTATAACCTAACCGTTTCACCTAAATGTAGAAAAGCTGAAAGTTAAATTAAAATATAGAAAATTAAGAAGTTTCTCTTTCAGAAACTTATGATGCCTTTTCTTAGATATGACCATGGAATTCAGTTCATTTTCATGATGTACCAATAAAAAGTGCATTGCTTATGTCTACTCCTGCCAGCCATTCTGAAACCAAATTTCCATTTATAACACCTAAGGAGAAGAAATGTTCCTTTAGAATCATGACCATAGTCTGGAAAAAGAATTGAGAAGGGCTAATTTTAGGCCAATAAAATATTAGCAGAAAGACACAACACCAAACAGGGAGGTGAATAAAGCAAATAGGTTGAAATAAAATCTTCTCATGTAAGCACATCTGTCCTTTCCTCCCATAGTTGGAAATGTTCCCTAGGTTTTAAAAACATTTTATGCCATGAGTCATGTACAATTAGGTCTATTTCAGCTAGATAACCTGTAGCTGTTAAAGAACTGTATTATCCTGTACGGAAGATGAGAGGTAGTGACATTTTATTCTCTCAATGCTGAGCTAAAAATTCCACACATCTGGCGCATGGGTTACATGGGGAAAAAAGCACAGAAGCACCACGGTACACTCCTCATGTTCTGTATCTCAAGTCGCCCGGAACTTCACTTGCTGTTGGCAGCTGACAATCACCGCTGTGTTGACAATGAGAGCAGTGGGGATGGTGCTATTCATCGTATAGGACTGGCGGGCCTCCATCATCTTTCAAAAACGAAGCAGCTTTCCTTCCATTCTTCTGAACATGATCTTCGTTCATTTTCTCCAAAGCTTCTATCTACAAAATTATGCATTGAATTCAATTGTCAAAAACTTACTTCACAGAAACCATATTTTAGATTGAGTCAGTAGTTTCACCCTTTTATAACTAGATCATAACTAACGATACTGGCTTTGAACTGGAATTTGTGTGTGTGTGTCTGTACACAGATATTCACATATACATGTATGTTTTCTGGTTTTTTTTTTTTTTTTAATTTAACTTTAGTTACTCTTATTTAGTTTAAATTGACCAGAGAGGGAAAGCGTGAGCAAGAGAGAGAGCA